GTGTAAGGAGTAATCAAAATTCATGAATTATTATTCCAGTTAAATGTGTCCTTCATCACAGAACCAATAATTTGGAATGTCCTAGGCAGTGATGATGATTGTGGCTTTTCAATAGGGAAATATTTTGACCCATTCTGAAAATAAATACACTGTTAAGTAGTAGTACATATTCATACAGCATAAAGGGAGAACCTACTATATAAAATCAGTTTGGAAATGCTCAGGGTCTTTTAGAGCATATGCTCAGTTCATGTACCACAGTTTTCCAGGTTATTTATATACTAGAGGCCCGGTGCATGAAATTCATGCACGGGTCGGTTCCCTAGGCTTGGCCAGCCATTAGGGCCGATCGGGGCCTTCCTTCCCCCGACTGCCAGCTGCTGGCCAGGGCCTTCCTTCATTCCGCACCACCCCCTGATGGTCAGCGCACGTCATAGCAAGCGGTCGAACTCCTGGTCGGCTGAACTCCTGAGGGGACAATTTGCATATTAGCCTTTTATTATATAGGATAGATAAAGCATGGACTAACCACATCCTTCATTATCCTAGGAAAGTTTCCTTAGTGTTTAATATTATAGCTTATTTATCTTTATTGGAATGAGCCGTTTCATGGAGGATTTTATCTAGTGTCTAGATGGCCATTCTGGGGCCACATGTGTATTAAAATCTGATGGTACTCAGTGTTTCTTTTCAGAATTTCGCAGGCCACGTTTTGTGTATCTATGATTGGAATCCTTGAACTTCTCCATAGATTTGTTTTATATTGTTGTTGTTGTTTTATATAAGGGCTTTAGTCAAAGTAATCTGTTTAGTATTTTCAGCAAAAGAACATCCAGTCTATAGAAAAATCATAAAAGTTTATTGGAGCCAAATTTTGAAAATATGCCCAGGAGCAAAATCTTAACAGATTGAGAAAATGCTCTGGAGAATGGTAGTTTGCAGCTTATTTTATATATTAGGATAAAAGGAAAAGTCATAAGGAGGGTTACATGAAATCCTTTGGTGGTAGATTAAGGGTGCAGAAGAAAGCAAAGCCGGGAAATCTCTAGGATTGGATAAAAAGCAAAACAGAGAGACACATATATCTTTTACATTGGTGGGAGCAGGATAGTTAATCTTTAACATTTATAGTAGCTAGTGATGGAATTTAGGGAACAAGATAACAAGGAGGAGTTTTGTGGTCTCATGCTCTGGTTCCTGTGGTTTTGTCTTTGAGGGGTCTAGAAAAGAAAATTACTCTGACATTTCAAAGGTATACTATCCTAGATGCATAAGAACAATGAACATATTGTTACAGTTTTTTTCTTGTGATGAAAACTTCTAAGATCTACTCTCTTAGCAACTTTCAAACACACAAAATAGTATTGTTAACTATAGTAATCATGCTGTATATTACATCCCCAAGACATTCATTCTTTAACTGGAGGTTTATACCTTTTGACCACCTTCAACCCATTTTTTCATTCACCCTTCACCCCCCACCTCCAGCAACTATGAATCTGTTCTTTGTGTATCCATGAGGTTTTTTTTTTTTTTTAATATTTCACATATAAATGAGATCATGCTTTATTTGTATTTCTTAGTCTGACTTATTTCTCTCATATAATGCCCTCACGTTCCATCAATGTTATTGCAAATGGAACTATGTGTCATGATGGGAGTTTATTAGACTTATTGTGGTGATCATTTTTCAATATACACATATATAAAATCAGTATGTTGTATACCTGAAATTAATATCATGTTAATATAATGTTATATACTTATGTTATATCTTTATATAACATATTATATGTTATTAATATAATGTTATATGTTAATAATATCTCAATTTAAAAATGCCCCCTCCAAAAAAAAGAACAATGGACAGAGCTCACTTAAGGTAATGTAAGGGAGCTATAGGCCTAGAACATGATTACCTGCTATGACCTGCCCAGTCAAGAATTTGTGACCTTGTGTGGCTGGTTACTTTTAGTCACTGAGCTTGTCAGGCCTACCATGTGGCCCCTGAGTTTGTCAGGTTTATTTCATAGCCCCTTTTTTGTTTATAGTATAGTAATATATTAAATGTATTTTTTATAGTATTTCTAAAGTGCTTTTATAGTATTTCTCATATAGTACTTTTAAAGTATTTCTATAATATCTGTAATATAGTATATTAGTAGCTACAGAACTTCTTTTACTTTGAGTCTTCTGGCTTGTTGTATGCTTCCTATATTACTTGATAGGATAAAGAGAATAGGTGAATAAAAGATTAAGCCCATGAACAGGAAAAAATAATATAGTTATAGGGCAGCTTTATTTTTAAAGCAGATATGATTTTATTTTTAAAATCTTAGAGAACATATCTTCAACAAAGACCTTTTAAGATTTTTATTTTCTGTGAATCTTTAAATATTGACACTCTTTGGTGGAATAAAACAGATAACCAAGATTTGGAAATGGCAAAATAATACCAGAATATGTTTAGTAATAAAAAAGTAAAGCTTTAAATTTTCACAATCATTTTTGTAATTATTTTTTTAAAATATATTTTATTGCTTTTTTACAGAGAGGAAGGGAGAGAGATAGTTAGAAACATCGATGAGAGAGAAACATCGATCAGCTGCCTCCTGCACATCCCCCACTGGGGATGCGCCCGCAACCCAGGTACATGCCCCTGACCGGAATCGAACCCGGGACCCTTCAGTGCGCAGGTCGACGCTTTATCCACTGAGCCAAACCGGTTTCGGCTGTAATTATTATAAATAATCCTTTTTCAGAATGCTACATTGTGAAATATTTTCACCACCCAATCACATATTAGGTAGTTGCAATAACCCTTGGTAGAATATATCCTATTTAATTCCAGTGAAGAAACTAAGTGTTATAGAAATTGACTTCCCCAGGTCATGTAGCTAGTAAGTGGCAAAACCATATTACAAACCAGGTCTTCTGCCTTCTAATTCAATGTTTTTTAAAATTGTATTGTCTTTCTTTAAAAAAGGTAAGTTTGCCTGGCTAATGTTTCCCAGTGGTCAGAGCATTGGCACACACACCAAAGGGTCACAGGTTTGATTCCAGTCAAGGGCATGTACCCTTTTGGGTTGCAGATTCAATTCCTGGCCCTGGTCCAGGCACATGTGGGAGGCAACTAGTTGTGTGTCTCCCTCACATCGATGTTTCTCTCTCTCTCTCTCTCTCTCTCTCTCTCTCTCTCTCTCTCTTTCTCCCTCCCTTCCTCCTTCCCTCCCTTCCTCCTTCCCTCCTTTCCTTTCATTCTTTCTAAAAAATCAATGGAAAAAATATCCTCTGGTGGTAAAGATTAACAACAACAAAAAAAGATAAATTTATTATTGGTGAAGGTCAGAATCATTAAGATATATATTTTTAATTTTAGTAAAAATGTGTGTCAATGCTCAACTAACTTCAGGCTTTTATCTTTTGTCCCCCAAATAAAAAGATAACCATCAGTATGTATAAATTTACTTACTTATTCAATAATTATTTTTTGGATGCCTATATGTGATAAACCTCTAATATAATGATGAATACAATGATGAATAAAATAGTCAAAATTTCTTTCCTCAAGGAGAATAATTAATTAAATACAAAAAAATCATTTCAAAAGTGGTTTGAAAAAAATAAGGTAGAGGTCAAAGTAAAGAACAGGAGGGGAATGAAAGAGATTGGGAAATAAGAGCAGCTCTCTCTGCAGAGGTAACTCTTAACTCTTAAACTTTAACCTGAAGGAGAAGGAGGAGGTACCCATGTAAAAAGATGTGAAAGAATCTTCCAAGCAGAGAGAACATTACATATAGGGAAGGGGGGGAGCAAAAGTAGGTTTGCAGTTGTTCATATGGAAAATAATACAATCAGATCTAATAAAAGGGTAATATGCAAATTAACCATCACTCCATCACAAAGATGGCAGTGCCCATAGCCACAAGATGGCAGTGCCCAATCCCCTCGCCCTGCCAGAGTCCCCCAGTCCTGGGGGGGTGGCCGCTGAAAGCGGGCAGCGTGAGCGGCCTGGCAGAATGCTTGCCTTGTCACTGTGGCGACAAGGAAAGCGTTCTGCCCCAGCACAGAGAGCTTCTGGGCAGCGGGCGTGGAGTGGCCAAGCCCTGCAGAGAGCAGAGAACCATGGGGAATGGGCCTATGCCATCAGGGCTCCCAGATTAGAGAGGGTGCAGGTCGGACTGAGGGATCTACCCTCTCCCCCCCGCCCCAGGCACAAATTTTATGCACCGGGCCACTAGTAATTAATAAATAATAATGCAAGGATAAACTATTGTTTCATGTGCTCACAACTGTAAACCTACTTTGTCCCACCCTGTATTAAAGCTGTAACATAGGAATGAGCTTCAATTGTTATAGAGCCTGAAAGATCGGAGTAGCTGGAATATAGGGAGGCAGAAGACTGGGTTGGATGGAGAGGCAAAGGCAACTTGTGGGCTGTGGTAAAGACAGAAAGGTAAACATTAGAAAAATCCATTTCCAAAAGCACAAAACATTTTTAGGCCTCAGATTTTAAAGGTGCTTTTACACTAATTTTGAACTGTTGGTTTGTTTTTATACATTTAGTTCTTTTCAGTACTCTTTATCCACCTCTTCAGTTTCATTTTTAAACATAATTCCTTTAGAGCCCTTTGATGAGTTATTTCTATGCCCTTAAAGTTAGAAAAGGGTATTAAATAAGTAATATGACATGAGTTAGCTTTAAAACAAATGGAAGCATGGTACAATGGTTTAAGGAAGTGTTACTGATTTGCTAGAGGTTATAGTTTTCTTTCCTTTTCTGTGAATATTATTCATTAATATGCTAACCCAAAATCAGAATTTTATGTTTTTTTATCACTAAATTTATAGTACTAAACTTTTCTTCTAAAAGTGTATCAGAAGGACAAACTAGGAAGTGTAGTGTATCTTCTTAAATCATATGATAAACATATTAATAATAAATTTATTTAAATTCTGTCAGAAGGCTAAAATAAGGTTTGCTTTTTCTTTTATATCAGGCATGCCCATTTGTCATTGATATCTATGCAGACAAATGCAAGCCAAGAATTAAAGCTGTCCATATGGAGCCATGCAGTGGGCAACTTGAGAAGGCCATTTGCAAATCTGTCCTTAACAAAGGCGATGCCAAAATAATGGATGGTTATGAAAATATTATTGTACATACTCATAAGTGTGACACCTGGATAACTTCTGTTATTGAAAACAAGGTATCAGTTATTTAATGGTTCTCATGACTGCAATGTTTACTAATATTTTCCATCTTCTTTCTTACTCTATTTTTGCACAGTAATTGAATGTCCTATTACATTAATAATATTTATTACTAGAGGCCTGGTGTATGAAATTCGTGCATGGGTAGGGTCCCTAGGCCTGGCCAGCGATCAGGGCCGATCGGGGCCTTCTGGCTGCTGGCCGGGGCCTTCCTTCCTTCTGCACCTCCCCCTGCTGGTCAGCACATGTCATAGCGAGCAATCAAACTCCCTGTCTCCTGGTCGAACTCCCACAGGGACAACTTGCATATTAGGCTTTTATATATATAAAAAGCCTGTGGCCATAATGCCATAACGACCAAAGACTGGTCACCAGGAGATGCATGGAGCACCTCTTGGTCCTACGGCTCACAGGCTCCGATCGCAGCAAGGCAGGTGGTGGGCGGGCCGGGCTGCGTGGCAAAGAGGGCATGGGGGATGGGCCCCCGGTGGGCGGAGGCGGAGGCGGGGAGCACGGCGCAGGTCCCCAGGTGACTAGCGGAAGTGCTTCTGCTGCGGGGGGAGGGGGGGCGGGGGCGGGTGCAGCTGGTGGGGGGGGAGGCGGTGTGCGGGGGTGGGGGGGGCGGGGGAAAGGGTGAGCTGGGAGAGGAATTGAGGCAGAAGGTAAAAGCTGTTACTAAGGGAAAGAGCCAAACAGTTTAGAGCAGCCAACGGCTCAGACACTCAACACTGGGGAGAGAGGAATGGGGACCAGCCAGGCACAATTGAACTCGTGAGGCCCACAGTGGCGATGGCGGCGGCGGAGTCTGGGGTCCTGCCAGCACGCATGGCCAGTTTGGGGTCCCGCTGGCGGGTGCGGCGGGTCTAGTGTCCCACTGGTGGATGCGACGGAGGGAGTCTGGGGTCCCACCCACGATGGCGCAGCAGAGGGAGTCTGGGTTCCACTGGTTTAGTGAAGCTGAACTCCTTCAGCTTTTTCTTGTTTGGGAAGCTCTTTATCTGTCCTTCCATTCTGAATGATAGCTTTGCTGGGTAAGGTAATTATGGTTGTTGGTCCCTCACGATTTTGCGCCCTGGGCCTCTAGTTTATATATAAACTATCATGCAAATTGTCCCCGCATGTGCGCTGACCACCAGGGGGCGGTGCGGAACAAAGGAAGGCCCTGGCCAGCGGCCAGCAGCTGGGGAAGGGAGCCTGGCTGGCAGCCAGAAGCCCCAATTGGCCCTGATTGTCAGCCAGGCCTAGAAACCCTACCCATGCATGAATTTCGTACACCAGGTCTCTAGTATTTAAATAGCTCTCTTTTATTAAGGCATCACACAGACTACAAAATGAGAAAACTGACTGACAGAGATCAGAGGATATGTCTGAATTTTAAAAGGAAAATTAAGCATGGTGGTTTGCCCATCTATCACAGCAAAAATGTTATTTTAGCAAAGTAATGGAGACAGTGACCTTGTTTCCATCCAAAACCCAGAGTAAATGACTTTGTACATTCAGTCAGCTCCACTAACAGCAACAACTACAAAAAGTTGGAAAATATATTCAGCAAGCTTCTTGAAGCTGGATGATCTATCTTATACATAAACAGTGTATTTGGTTTGGAAGTATTACCTGTATTATGGATGCAAGGACAAAGCAGAATCAGTTTTCTTTTCAATTCATCTTGATGTCAACCTTTTCAATTGACATTTTATGTATGTTTTACAATATCAATAATAGATTAGAATAATAGTATGTGTATATAAATTAAAACACATGTACATTTTAGATATATACTCAAAATTTTGTTATTAATATTTTTTAACTTTAAATAATTTTGAGCATTTTATTATTAATTTTTATTTTTTTACTTTAAATAATTTTTTATTTTTCAATTACAGTTGACATACAATACTACATTAGTTTCAGGTGTACAACCCAATAACTAGTCACCATATCACTTACTAAGTTTTCACCCTGATAAATCTGGTACCCATCTGATACCATACATAGTTATTGCAATATTATTGACTATATTTCATATGCTATACTTTACATCCCCATGACTGTTCTGTAACTATCTATTTGTACTTCTTAATTCCTTCACCTTTTTCATCTATTCCCCCAACCCCTGCTCCAACCTTAAAGAAGACCTTTTAACATTTCTTGTAATACTGGTTTAGTGAAGCTGAACTCCTTTAGCTTTTTCTTGTTTGGGAAGCTCTTTATCTGTCCTTCCATTCTGAATGATAGCTTTGCTGGGTAGGGTAATTATGGTTGTAGGTCCTTGCTTTTCATCACTGAATATTTCTTACCAATCCCTTTGGGCCTGCAAAGTTTGTGTTGAGAAATTAGCTGACCGTCTTATAGGAGCTCCCTTGTGGGTAACTAACTGCCTTTCTCTTGCTGCTTTTAAGATTCTCTCTTTGTCTTTAACTTTTTGCATTTTAATTTATGTGTATTGGTGTGGGCCTCTTTTGGGTTCTTCTTCTTAGAGACTCTCTGTGTTTCCTGGACTTATATGTCTATTTCCTTCACCAGGCAAGGGATGTTTTTTGTCATTATTTTTTCACATAGGTTTTCAATTCCTTGCTTTCTCTGTTCTCCTTCTGGTACCCCCATGATGTGAATGTTGGTATGCTTGAAGTTGTCCCAGAGGCTCCTTATACTATCCTAATTATTTTTGGATTCTTTTTTTCTGTTCTGATTGGGTGTTTTCTGCTTTCTTATCTTCCAAATCTCTGATTTGATCCTCTGCTTTATGTACTCCACTGTTGATCCCCTGTAATGTATTCTTCATTTCAGTTAATGTATTATTCATTTCTGACTGGTTCTTTTTTTGTTATCTAGTTCCATTTTTATGTCTCCTATCTCTTTGTTGATGTTCTCACTAGTTCATCTACTCTTCCCCTGAGTTCATTGAGAATTCTTATAACCAGTGTTTTGCATTCTGCAGCTGGTAGATTGCTTGTCTCCATTTTGTTTACTTCTTTTTCTAGACTTTTGTTCTGTTATTTTATTTGGGACATGTTTCTTTGTCTCCTCATTTTAGCAGCCTCGCTATGTTGGCTTCTACATATTAGGTAAAGCTGTACGTCTCTCAGGCTTGGTAAAATGACTTTATGTAGTAGGTATTCAGTAGTATCTAGTGGCACAGCTTCCCTCCCTGATCACCAGAGCTGGGCACTCCAAGTGTGCCCCCTGGGTATACCCTCCTGTTGTAGTTGAGCTTTCATTGCTGTTGGTCCATCAATTGGAGGGATTTACCCTTGACTGGCTGCAAGGACTGGTTGGAACCAGAGTGAAGTATCATCTCTGTAGGGGCCCAACCCACAGAGCAGGACTTACTTCTGCAGGGTTCTGATACCCACTGAGTTTTCCTCTTGAGTATTTCCTCTTGTGGAGGTGGTTCTGGGGCCTCCTGGGAAGTGCAGGCCAAGGTCTACCACCACCTGTGTGCTGCCCGGGGCCATCAGGCATGAACTACAAAGCGGTGTGAAGATGATTGCTACTTGTGCTGAGTTTGGAGGTGGTCATGAGAGGTCAAGCTGCCAACCAAGGCCGGTTGCTACAAGTGCTAGACCTGGGGCCACTTAGCAAGAGGTTTCTGGCACCCCAAGGCCAGATGCTGCTTCTTTGAGAGGTTTTTGGAGTGTTTAAAGCATGAGTCAAGACAGGCTGTTTGCATGGAAAAGCCACTGGAAACAGTTTGGCTGGGCCCACAAGTTAGGTGGGACTGGGTCTCATGGAATTCCTGGGCTGGGTGAACAATGTGGGCCAGGTTAAACTATAAAATATTGGGGGCCGGGGGGAGGCAGGAGGAAAGGGCTGGGAAACAGCATGCAAAGAGAGGAGAATCCTGGCATCTTTTGAGGATGTGGAAAAGAACATTCTATTGGAGTGGAGGTTCTTGGAAAATAGTGTAAAGGCTTGAGATAATTGTTTTTCTCTTAAAATATTATTAAAGCAAATGTTTGGAGATATATACAGATAGAGCATTATTTGGCTACGAAATAATTTATTTAGTTTGTTAATAAAAGTCTTCACTCAAACTCAACTATTTTAAATAATAGATATCGTGTTTTAAAGCAATACAGACAAAGAATTTTGCTTAACTCTTTACACTAACATTGCAATATCAGAAATCCTATAGACTATCATTTTACCAAATTAAGAATATTCCACTGTCTATAACCTATTTTTATCACACCAGTTATTTTCTAGCTTTGGCCATCTTCCCTGCTACTATTGATATTGCAGGTCAAGAGAAAATATGCATAAATTCTTAAAGTCAAAGACACAGTTTTCTAGAAATTATAAATTTTTTTTTTTTAGAACTGTTGGTTTATTTTTTTTAGTTCCTGGGTGATATTTTCATTATTTTTATGTCTGCCATAAATTTCTTAAAGGGTTTAAGATTTGTCTGAGTATTGAGTCAATGTGAGTAGTATACATTATGTAACCAACTCTCCTAGTCAAGTAAGGGTCACTAGAAAGAGTAAAATGGTCTCAGCTTTCAAGGATTTATGGTCTAGTTGAAAAGACAAAATTAATACTCTTAAAAGAGATCTGAGAATGATTAAGTGTTAAATAATGCTGTACTAATGCTATGTGCAATAGTCTACTATATTTGTATCTCTTATAATTGATGTTTGTTTGGACTATAGAAGTTGGGAAGGATTTGTGATGAGGAGAAGGGGACTGTGATGTGGGATTTGAACATGTGGTGTGGGATTTAAAGGATAACTAGGATTTAGATTTGCAGAGAGGCAGTCTTTAGAACAGGGGAAAGTGTAAGGAGAAATGTGAGAAAGGGTTAATATGAAGTGTTGAGGAAAGAGTGAGACTATCTGCTTTGCAGAAACAGAGAACTTTCTTTGGAAGAGTATTAGGAAGATAAATACATTGGTAGAATGGGTCCAGATTATATAGGGTAGGACGAAGGTAGGTTACAGTTGTGAGTATGCAAAACACAGTTTATTTTTTGTATTATTATTTATTAACTAGTGGCCTGGTGCATGAAATTCGTGCACGGGGTGGGGGTGTTCCTCAGCCCAACCTGCACCCTCTCCAATCTGGGACCCCTCGAAGGATGTTCTACTGCTGGTTTACAGGGATTGGGCCTACACCAGCAGTCGGACATCCCTCTCGCAATCCGGGACTGCTGGCTCCTAACCACTCACCTGCCTGACTGCCTGCCTGATTGCCCCTAACCACTCTGCCTGCCGGCCTGCTTGCCCCCAACTGCCCCCCCCTCTGCCAGCCTGATACCCCAAACTGCCCCCCCTGCTGACCTGCTCGCCCCCACCTTCCCTCCCCACTGGCCTGCTCACCCTCAACTGCCCCCCTGCTGGCCTCCTTACTCCAAACTTCCCCCTCCACGCTATCCCGATTGCCTCCAACTGACCCCCACTGATGGTCTGCTTGCCCCCAACTGGCCCCCCTGCTGGTCTGCTTACCCCCAATGGCCCTGCCCCCCACCAGCCTGATCACCCACAACTGCCCTCCCCTCTTGGCTTCTAACCACCTCTACCTTGGCCCCACCACCATGGCTTTGTCCAGAAGAATGTCCAGAAGGTCTCCTGAAAGGTCTCCTAGTCTAATTAGCATAGTACCCTTTTATTAGTATAGATAGAGGCCTGGTGCATGGGTGGGGGCTGGCTGGTTTGCCGTGAAGGGTGTCCCAGATCAGGGTGAGGGTTCCCTTGGGGCATGGGGTGGCCTGGGCAAGGGGCCTGTGGTGGTTTGCAGGCCGGCCACACCCCCATGGGGTGAAGGTCCCCACTGGGGGGGGCGTGGCCAGCCTGGGTGAGGGGCTGAGGGCTGTTTTCAAGCTAGCCACACTCCCTTCAGGGTGGGGGTCCCCGCTGGGGTGCCTGGCAAGCCTGGGTGAGGGGCTGAGGGCCGTCTTCAGGCTGGCCACACCCCCTTCAGGATTGGGAGGTCCCGCTGGGGTGCCTGGCCAGCCTTGGTGAAGGTCTCATGACTATTTGCAGGCTGGCCAAGCCCCTTAGCGGGGACCCTCACCCCATGGGGGTGTGGCCAGCCTGGGTGAGGGTCTGATGGCTGTATTCAGGCTGGCCAAACCCCCTTCAGGGTGGGGGTCCCCACTGGGATGTTTGCAGGCTGGCCACGGCTCAGGCAACCCAGGCTCCCAGACCCTCCTTGATTGGAGGCCACAGCGGCTGGAAACAGGTATCTGGGATTTATTTGTTTTCTATAATTGAAACTTTGTAGCCTTAAGTGAAGCCCACCACCGGCCAGGGCAGGTGGGAAGCTTGGCTTCCTCCATTGCCAGGGCAACCCAAGCCTCCTGTTTGCTCCAGCTCCATGGCCGCCACCATCTTGGTTGGGTTTATTTTCATACTCGCTCCTGATTGGCTTGTGGGTGTGGCTTGTGGGCATAGCAGCGGTATGGTCAATTTGCATGTTTCTCTTTTATTAGATAAGATTATTTTATTATTTTCTATACAAACAATGGTAACCCTACTTTTGCCCCACTCTATATGTTACCTTGAAAAAGAGGTGAAGGAATTTGGATTTGATTAAATAAGCTAGAGTCCCCAGCTAGTAAATTTCAATCTTCAAATGGATCATAAAGCCTTGGAAGGATGGGTGTGGAGAGAGCAGAGCGCCTGAAGAATGGCTTCTCTGTGTACAACACATCCAACAGCAACTTGGGCTTACTCCTTACAGGTGGCAGAATACTATGGCCTTCCTGTAACGTTACGCCCTACACATAAAAAAATAAAATCAAATAAAATAATAAATTTAAAAAAGCCTTGGAAGGTGATTCTGAAAATCCATCATGTTTGCCTTTCTGCCCTCTATGTTGTATTGGGATTATAAGGGTAGAAGGGAGTCACTACCTTACCCCACTTCCTCTACTCTGCTATAACTTATCATTTCTCAACCCTCTACATCCTTTTCCCTCAAGGAAAATTAAACTTCCTTCACTAAAATGAAGTCATAATAGTTTAGAGTTCACAGTGTATGAGGCACTTAACATATATTAACACAGTTACTTTTCACAACAACTCAATGGGGTAAATACTATCCCCATTTTACACACAAGGAAACTGAAGCACAGGGATGTTAATTTGCAAAAGGCCACACAGGTAAGTAGCAGAGGGACTGAGAAGTGAATCTGGGTTGTCTGTTACACTACCCCTCTGTAGCCATTAGGGAGTGATTGCAGTGCTATAGCAGGGGAATACTTTGACTTGCATTTCTCTCACTTCTCAGCTCCATTCTGCTGTTTCTTGCTTCCTATCCATCCTAGAGGCCATCATCTATTACCTCAAGTATCATTTCTTCCATAAGGTCTTCCTTGATACCCCAGTCTCAGCTAGTGTTTTTGTATTTCTATAATGTCTTCCGTGTTTCTATAGAACCCTATGAATACCTCTATCACAAGACTTACACAATGCCTTATAATTACCGTTTTATTTATCTGCTTTATTAAAGACAGAACTAACAACTTATCAAATCTTTTTATAGTCAGATAATAAAGTGATTATTCACATCAATAATGAACTAAGTAAAAACTGCATAAACAACAGAGGACTCAACATATTTGCAGTAGAAGTGGCACCCAAATCTACAATGGTAATGCATTGTTTTCTAACTAAAGCTTTCTGTTTTGTCAATTGGAAAATTTTTTTTTGCTATAATGCTATGAATAAATGTATATATAAAATGAAGTGGAGAGTTATTTTAAGTCTGGTATTTGTATTAGTATCATCTTATACCAGGAGATAGGAGACTTGGTTCTAATCACTTACCCTTTCTGTTCCAGTTTATTTAAGTGTAAAATTAATATATCACCAGCTCCAGGTACTTCACAAAGTTAATGTAAAGATAAAATGATGTACATGAAAGCACTTTTGAACATCATATACAAATACAAAGCAGTATTAATAGTATTAGGAATTTTGATAATCCACAATACTTTTATGTATATTATTTAGATTTTCCAAGGTAACCTGAAAGAGAAAATGCTTCTGAGTTTTAGGTAACCAGCTAAGTCAAATCAGGAACAGGTGGGTTCCAGTGTTAGCAGAGCTCTGGGTTTCTGATTTAGCCAGGAGTTCAAAGGCAGGGACAGATCAGTAGATGCTGAAACTAGTCTAAAGAAGGGAGACAGGGAAAAGCTTTCTATTCTTACCCTTTCTTTCTCCATACTCTCTGTGAAATCCTAGAACATTCTAGAACAGGATAAAGAAAGGAGATTTTTTTCTGTTATCCCAGTGAGGATTTTATAAAATGTTGTAGGTAATGAGGAAAGGATATTTACTCCCCTTTCCACCATCCTTCTTTATCTACCTTCACAAACACCAATTCTATCCAAGTAGAATTTAGTCTGTCTTATTCTGTTAGACATCAGATTATAGACTGCAGGTCTCTGCTAAGGATAAATATTATAGAATTTTATAAGTACAGGGATATTTTTTACATAGAGTCTAGAAATGTCCTATTGAAAAATTAGTGCAAAATATCAATATGTAAAAGGAAAGTAAAAGCTCTCTATTTTTATACGCAGGTTTGTCAACATGTAATGCCTCTGGATGAACGACAAGAATGGATATATAATTGTGTATATTCCCTTATATCTTAAATACCATTTCTAGGAAATAATTCTACACAAGACTATCAGACAAAGAAGAATTATTTCAGGTTTAGTAAGGTATCTGTTGATCAATTAAATGCTATTCAATTTAACTAATATACATAAATAATCTAATTTGTATGTATTTACATTTCCTCCTATATTATATACTTTATTATTAAAATATAAATAACTTTTAAATGTGTGGCTTTATTTAATGGTAAATCTGGGCACATTTTATATATGAATAGTAAATAAAACTAAAATTATAGGTGAGCTTTTAAAAAGTAATAGTCGGACGCTCAGTATAGGTGGTCAAGGCTGCAGCCGCTGGGCATGAGGAGTGTGTCGTGTGAGCACGATTGCTGCCTCCTCTCCCTGCAGGAACCCGTCGCTGAGCTGAGGCATGCTTTCCACTCGCATTGCGTGTTGTGCCCACCATGAGGCGCCTGGGCTCCGTGCAGCGGAAAATGCCCTGCGTGTTTGTGACCGAGGTGAAAGAGGAGCCCTCCACCAAAAGGGAGCATCAGACATTTAAAGTTTTGGCAACTGAAACTGTAAGTCACAGGCATTAGATGCAGATATATACAGTGCAATTCCAACAGAAAAAGTGGATGGAACATGTTACATTACTACCTACAAAGGTCAGCCATATCTGTGGGCTCGATTAGATAGAAAACCTAACACACTAGCTGAAAAAAGATTTAAAAATTTTCTACATTCAAAACAAAACTCAAAAGATTTTTTTAAATTAATAAATCTTTATTGTTCAGATTATTACAGATGTTCCTCTTTTTTCCCCCCATATCTCCCCTCTACCTGGTTCCCATCCCACCCCATGCCCTTACCCCCTGCCATTGTCCTCATCCATAGGTGTAAGATTTTTGTCCAATCTCTTCACGCCCCCCACACACACCCCCTTCCCCCCAAGAATTGTCAATCCACTCCCTTTCTATGCCCCTGCTTCTATTATATTCACCAGTTTATTCTGACTTAATTTTTAGGTTCACTTGTTGATAGGTATTTATTTGTTGTCACTTTGTTGTTCATAATTTTTATCTTTACCTTTTTCTTCTTGTTCCTCTTCTTAAAGAATATCCTTTAGCATTTCATATATTCCTGGTTTGGTGGCGATGAACTCCTTAAACTTTTTCTTGTCTGTGAAGCTCTTTATCTGACTTTCAATTCTGAATGATAGCTTTGTTGGGTAAAGTTATCTTGGTTGTAGGTTCTTGCTATTCATCACTTTGAATATTTCTTGCCACTCCCTTCTGGCCTGCATGGTTTCTGTTGATCAATCAGCTGACAGTCGTATGGGTACTCCCTTGTAGGTAACTGTTTTTCTCTTGCTGCTTTTAAGATTCCCTCTTTGTCTTTAGCCCTTGGCATTTTAATTATGATATGTCTTGGTGTGGTCCTTTTTGGATTCCCTTTGTTGGTGTTCTCTGCGCTTCCTGGACTTGTAAGTCTATTTCTTTCATCAGGTAGGGGAAGTTTTCTGTCATGATTTCTTCTAATATGCTTTTAGTTTCTTGCTCTCTCTCTTCTTCTGGCACCCCCATAATTCAGATGTTGCTACGTTTGAAGTTGTCCTAGAGGCTTCTTACACTATCTTCATATTTTTGGATTCTTTTTTCGTTTTGCTTTTCCGGATGGATGTTTTTTGCTTCTTCATATTTCAAATCTTTGACTTGATTCTTGGGATCCTCTAGTCTGCTGTTGGATCTCTGTATTTTATTTTTAATATCAGTCAGTATATGTTTAATTTCTGACTGGTCCTTTTCCATTTCTTTGGCATTCTCATTAAGATCCTTGAAGGTCTCACTAAATTCCTCGGAGGTTTGTAGAAGATTCTTGAGTAACCTTATAACTGTGGTTTTGAACTCTATGTCCTCCATTAGTTTGCTTTCCTCCATTTCTTTCATTTGTGACATGTTTCTTTGTCTCCACATTTTTGGCTGACTGCAAGGACCCATTGTGTCTATAGTGGAAGAACTTCTGTGCTGGAGTCACCCTTATGGAGCAGGACTTGCTTCAGTGGGGCTTTGGTGCTCACTGAGTCTGTTTCTTGAATGTGTCCCTTATGGATGTGAGGAGTTGAAATCTGGTATCTGACCAGGGGTACCCTGGCTCCTGGATCTCCAAGTCAACCACTGTGTGGGTCCACCCAGCAGGATCTACAGCGATATCAACAGATTTCTCCTCTTTGTTTGGAATTTGGAAGTTTTGGAGCTCTCTGACCCAGCTGCAGTTTGTTGGGATAGGCTGCAAAAACGCAGGTGGTTCCTTGCACCACTGGCACAGCTTGGGCGGGGATGTAAATTGAGTGGGGCGGGGTCTCAGAGAATCACCAGGGCGGAGCAAACAGCAATGGTTGTCGTTTGCGTCTCAGCAACTCCTAGCGTCTCCGCGAGTCCGACTCCGTGTCTCTGCGTCCTGAGTCCCGCACCCCCAAGGCAACAATGATCTGCGAGCAGCTCTGTGAGAAAGCCACCCTCGCTTTCCGACCCGCTGCAAGACAGTCCAGTTTCTCCCCATAGGAGTCTGGGACCTCAGAATCTCGCCTTAAAAGAGCTCAGTGCATTCGAGAGCTTGTCTCCCCTTCCGATTGAAAAAAACTGCGCATCCAGGTGCAGCCCGCCTCGTGCGCGCCTTCGTACCTCTGTTCTTGGCGCCTTTGCACCTCCTACTCAGTCTCAATGCGCTTCTTTCTTTCCTTCTAGTTGTAGAACTTCCAGTTGGCCAGCTTTCCCGTGGTTCTGGTTGATAGCTGTTTTGTCTTATAGTTGTAATTTCAGTGTTGTTGTGGGAGGCAGCACACACAGGTTTATACCTTACGCAGCCATCTTGGTTCCTCCCTCAAAAGAATTTTTTTGGAATGTTGAGGAGGACTTCAAACCTGTTCCAGAGTGCTGGATACCAGCGAAGGAAATTGAACAATTAAATGGAAATTGATGCCTGATGAAAATGGACACATTCCTGGGTGGGTACCAGTGGAGAAAAACAACAAGCAGTATTGCTGGCATTCCTCTGTAGTTAATTATGAATTTGAAATAGCCCTGGTACTGAAGCTTCATCCTGATGATTCTGGTCTTTTGGAAATTACTGCAGTGCCACTATCAGACCTCTTAGAACAGACGCTGGAGCTAATAGGAGCAAATATTAATGGAAACCCATATGGGTTAGGAAGCAAGAAGCATCTGTTACAACTTCTTATACCACATGGAGCATTTCAAATAAGAAATCTACCTCCCTTGAAGCACAGTGATCTGTTGTCCTGGTTTGAAGGTTGCAGAGAGGGTAAAATTGAAGGAATAGTATGGCATTGCAATGATGGCTGTTTAATCAAGGTCCATCGCCATCATCTTGGTTTATGCTGGCCAATTCCAGATACTTACATGAATTCAAAACTGGTTATTATTAACATGAACTTGAACAAACATGACTATGCTTTTGATACTGTCTATTTAATCATTTTTCAAAAATAGATCATCAGAAATTTAGTAGGCTCAAAGATATAATACTCCATGAATAGACTGGAAATGTAATTAAAAACCAGCTTTATTATTGTTATATTTGAATCTTGAATATTCTGCCATGTGTAAAAGGTGAAAATATCTCAAGGTTCCTATTTATTGTTCAGTGTCTAATGGAGAAATAAGTCTTCTAGCATTTGAAGAAATGAATTTTCCAGTTGGAAATATCTAGTCAAAGTCTTATTTAGAATCAGCAAATGAATTTTAACCTCTGGATTTAAAAATGTAAGTAATAGTAACCTCCCCAGCTTGTACAAAGGGTTGGATTCTGTCCACTATAACTGAGTAGTAATTTAAAGACAACAATGAAACCAACAATTTTGGATCATTTACTTTCAAAATTAAATACTTTAAGCTGAGTTTAATTTAATCTTCCTTGACATTTAACAATATTGTATACACACACATATATATATATACAAGTTATAAATACATATAAGATATAAGAACCATGACACATATATAAATAGGTAAGAATATAAAACCCCAATTTTAAATGTTAAAATTGTTATTCTCATATTTAAAAACTTAAAACATTATGAATGTACAGAAGTTCACTATAGCTCATTGCCTACTTGATAATCATAACTTACTTTAAAAATCTTCAAATATATACTTTTCTAATGTGTTAAAAATTTCATACAACTTTATTTACTAAAATTTCAAATTCAGGTAAAGGTACAGGGTATTGGAAAGGATATCATGTAGGTCAGAGACTTGTAAATAGTTAAATAAAAGCTGTAATTATAGCTGGCCCTTAATAAGTGGGGAAATTGACAGGACTTCCCTCTTCGTCTTCAAACTGTTCAGAAGCAGCAACAGGACTAGTTAATTCAACTCCAAATTGTTCAGAAAGTTATTTTAACTTTTCTAAAAATAATTTTTTTTCACTTCTTCTTTGTAGTTATACTTCAGATCTTAGATTTCTTCAAAAAATGACGGAGCAACATTTTCCAGTTCTTCAGCTTTTTATTTCCTCCTAATAGAAACATATCGTCTTTAAAAGACATCAATAAGTATATAATACACTTCTTAGGTTTAAACTAAAGAGATTTAATTATAAAGGAGCACCAAAGTAACCTGAATAGCAAATATAAAGATTGAAGTATTAAGATTTTGTTAATAAGATTTTATTGTGCAGTATAAGTAACTAACTTGTTAAATGCCACATCAAATGACCTGTTCTGTAAGTTATGTCCTAGTCTTTGACTAAAATTTATTAGCTCTTAAATTAGAGGGGGATTTCATCTTTCTCCAAAAGCATACTTTCAGATACTCAGTGAGGCAAGCAAAAAGACATGGCTATTCACAGCATTAAAGTTGTTTTGGTTAATATTCTTTAGTTTAGGCTTCATTTATATTTTCTTTACAAATATGTAATTTGTAATGAATAATGGTCAATTTCTTATAAATATATTCATGATCAGGGAAATTCTAGGGCTTCTTGCCTAAGAGCTATGCATCTGGTGAAGAGGCAATTTGAGCTTTAGAATTGCCAATAATCACTAGTTAACTTTCTTATCGTGTTCTTTTCTATTTACAGATTCTTGAAAGACATAAAGCATAGCAAATATCTTTTTTAAGGGAGGGGAACTATTCCTAAAAAGATTTTCAA